TCAGGAACACATATATATTTGAATGATCTTGATTGGACATCAGGTTGCAGAGAAATCGTATTTTTACTGAGTGGATTATTGAATTTCATAGATCTAGAGGCCCTTCAGGAGTGGAAAACCTTAAATTATCAGAGATTAATGTTTCCAAACTGTTTTGAAACAAACTAACGTCTTGTTTTCAACCTACACCTTGCTCCTTTCTGTCGTATTTAATAAAACAAAAATAGTATATCACGGAGGGATACGAACCACTCACCTGGGACTTGGTTATTCACTAGCGCCATAGGCGTTCTACTATTCTGGATACAACTGACGAGTCGTATTTAAGTGGAGACAAAAGTGAGGATCATTTTGAATTGGCGCTCGGTATAAATATATAATACTTTTGTTCTTTCATATCGATAGCTCGTTGGCCTCATGGTTAGCGTGCCTGGCTTCCATTGTCTAGGTTAGTTGATCGAGACCCGTTCATGTCGAACTTTTTGATTTGCTTGTTGTCAAGATATAATAAGTAGGGCAAAATCCAGAAAAAGTAGATCAAAAATACTCCAATGGAGTATAAAATTGTCACCAGGATTCCGGAATGAGACGAATGTTAACTCGTGAAATCTCGGTAGATAAAGTAGGTCAGAAAATCCGGATTAATCCGAACAAGGTTCGGGAATTTCCGTCATAAGAAGTAGGTCAAAAATATAAAATTGTCACCAGGATTCCGAAATACGACGAATCGAATCGGCAAACTTCGGTACAATAATGAAGTGCATAAAAATCGTGAAACAGGTGTCAGGGGCTTCCCCCCATCTTTCCATAAATGGTTCTAAAAGCCTTATATGGATCTATCACATGACATTCAAAATGACGTTCCTATATGGTTCTATGGGCCTTATATGGATCTTTCGAACACGTGACCAAATCAAAATCAAAATCAAAATTTTACCTTGACCATTGGATGGTATTTCATAGAAAATATCAAAGAAAACATATTCTCGTGATCCTTAAATCACTTAAATTCGATCATTTTATCTTCACCCCTTGATGGAATTTTATGAAAGAAGTTATGAAAACACATCATCATGTAAGGGTTTTCACCTAAATTAGCTCGTTTTATCTTGACCCTTCAATTGAATTTCATTGAAAAATGTTTCATGAAAAATATCATCATGTTATGATTTGTATTTAAATAAGACCGTTTCATTTAAATACTTGCTGGATAATATTTCATAAAAAAATGCACTTTAAAAATATTTCAGGATTTGCCTTAATTTATCAATGTAATGTAAGTATTAGATTGACTCTCAAATAGGGTTCTATTTTAACTTTTTTATTGAAATTAATACTAGGCAGGACTCACTCTCTAAATAGCTAATAAAAATTCAACCCTTTGATGTGATTTCGTTGAAAAAAAAATATGACAAGTCCAGAATCAAATGATTTGTCCAGAACCTCTTAAGATCCTGTTTAAAATGCTATTTTTCTCATCTCATCATTATGATCATGAATATTGAACACCATATGATCATGTAAGGCATATTTATTTCAGCTATACCATGCAGGCGTCTGTCTACGACCACGAACGGCCGTACTGTTTGCACAAATGGCATTGTGTACAATTCAGTTTGCACAACAAGTTGTAGTCCAGGATATAGAACAGAAGGAAACAATACAATACAGTGCCAGTCTAATGGGCAATGGACATCAACGGAGCCATTATGTGAACGTAAGTTTTACATTCTCTTTATGAGCTCTTGGATACGTACTACTACATTATGCCCAATCAATTCAGTACATGCGCAGGTTTTAAGTGGACCATTTATACCTTTTAGCTGTATCATGTAGACGTCTTTCTACCACTCAAAACGGCCACACCATTTGCACAAATGGTATTGTATACAATTCAGTTTGCACAACAAGTTGTAGTCCAGGTTATAGAACAGAAGGAAACAATACAATACAGTGCCAGTCTAATGGGCAATGGACATCAACGGAGCCATTATGTGAACGTAAGTTTTACATTCTTTTTATGAGCTCTTGTATACGTACTACTACATTATGCCCAATCAATTCAGTACATGCGCAGGTTTTAAGTGGACCATTTATACCTTTTAGCTGTACCATGTAGACGTCTTTCTACCACTCAAAACGGCCACACCATTTGCACAAATGGTATTGTATTCAATTCAGTTTGCACAACAAGTTGTAGTCCAGGTTATAAAACAGAAGGAAACAATACAATACAGTGCCAGTCTAATGGGCAATGGACATCAACGGAGCCATTATGTGAACGTAAGATTTTTGTAGATAACTTGTATACATGCACACTCTACTACATACTGCTAGTTCCATTGCTTCTGCCCCGTCAATACTGTATAGAGCATGGGTAAACAGTATATCTAGTTTATCATTGATACATTTTAGCCGTAACCTGTAGACGTCTTTCTACCACTCAAAACGGCCACACCATTTGCATAAATGGTATTGTATACAATTCAGTTTGCACAACAAGTTGTAGTCCAGGTTATAAAACAGAAGGAAACAATACAATACAGTGCCAGTCTAATGGGCAATGGACATCAACGGAGCCATTATGTGAACGTAAGATTTTTTGTAGATAACTTGTATACATGCACGTACTGCTACATACTGCTAGTTCCATTGCGTATTCCCCGTCAATATAGAGCATGGGTATATATCTAGTTTATCGTTGATACATTTTAGCTGTACACTGTAGACGTCTTTCTACCACAAAAAACGGCCGTACTGTTTGCACAAATGGTATTGTATACAATTCAGTTTGCACAACAAGTTGTAGTCCAGGATATAGAACGGAAGGAAACAATACAATACAGTGCCAGTCTAATGGGCAATGGACATCAACGGAGCCATTATGTGAACGTAAGTTTTACATTCTTTTTATGAGCTCTTGTATAAGTACTACTACATTATGCCCAATCAATTCAGTACATGCGCAGGTATTAAGTGGACCATTTATACCTTTTAGCTGTACCATGTAGACGTCTTTCTACCACTCAAAACGGCCACACCATTTGCACAAATGGTATTGTATACAATTCAGTTTGCACAACAAGTTGTAGTGCAGGTTATAGAACAGAAGGAAACAATACAATACAATGCCAGTCTAATGGGCAATGGACATCAACGGAGCCAATATGTGAACGTAAGATGTATTGTTTGTAGATAACTTGTATTCATGTACGTAATACTACATACTGCTAGTTTCATTGCTTATGCCCAATCAATTTAGAGCATGGGTAGATATATATTTAGTTAGGATATAGAACGGAAGGAAACAATACAATAAAGTGTCAGTCTAATGGGCAATGGACATCAACGGAGCCATTATGTGAACGTAAGTTTTACATTCTCTTTATGAGCTCTTGTATACGTACTACTGCCTTATGCCCAATCAATTCAGTACATGCGCAGGTATTAAGTGGACCATTTATACCTTTTAGCTGTACCATGTAGACGTCTTTCTACCACACAAAACGGCCGAACTGTTTGTTCAAATGGGTTTGTATACAATTCAGTCTGCACAACAAGTTGTAGTCCAGGTTATAGAATAGAAGGAAACAATACAATACAGTGCCAGTCTAATGGGCAATGGACATCAACTGAGCCATTATGTGAACGTAAGATTTTTGTAGATAACTTGTATACATGCACGTACTACTACATACTGCAAGCTCCATTGTTTATGCCCATCAATACAGAGCATGGGTATACAGTATATCTACATGTAGTTTATCATTGATACATTTTAGCTGTACCTTGTAGACGTCTTTCTACTACACGAAACGGCCGTACTGTTTGTTCAAATGGTATTGTATACAATTCAGTTTGCACAACAAGTTGTAGTGCAGGTTATAGAACAGAAGGAAACAATACAATACAATGCCAGTCTAATGGACAATGGACATCAACGGAGCCATTATGTGAACGTAAGATGTATTGTTTGTAGATAACTTTTTTTTTACATACTACTACATACTGTCTTTAGAAGTGCAAATCTTAACTTATTTTTGAACGTTCCGTTTACGTAACTTAAGTGAGGCATTAATTCGACGATTCTGTTGTCTTCTGAGCTATTTGTTCGCAAACGTGTACATTTCCCTAAACATATGATACTAATCTCATTTACAGTCACCAAAATCGCTTCATATTCAAATACATGTTCATAAACTAGGATATTGTAACGTGTAGACAGTTCAGTTGATTCCTTAGACACTCGCAAAAAGGTCGACCACGTGTGTTTTTAGGATGTCGCATGAATATATCGTTAATCCTCCGTAAAATATAACACTCTAACTAAAGTATATATATCATTTCAAAGCTTCGTTTATGAAGGTTTTAAATTAAGTACACTCCCTTCACAGTTCTTGCTCGTTTTTAAAAGAGTTATATTCCTAAAAATTGGACAAATATCCGCTATTGACACATTACACCTTGAACAATTGTTCTTTGATCTTCGAACGCCCACTACTTAAACAATATTTGACTACTGTTGATTATTGTCGTCTTGACAAAGGTCGACGGGAGTGTTATTTTAAAACATGAATTTTTATATGCGTTCCATATCGGTATGTCATATAGTTATTAAAATTAAGTTGAAATTCTAAATATCTTAATGGTTGCCATCTTGAAAATGAGGGCCGACGCTATTTTATGATTTTTGCCAACACAGATTGGCTCCCAGAATGCAATCTCGATTTTTCCAACAATTAAAATGTCGTAATTGTCTGACATTGGACTGTATGTAAATTCATAATCAGCAATCCAAATGATTTGAACTGATATCTCAATCACTTCTTGTACTTGTTTGAAACTTTTTGTTATTTTATAATACCAAAATTCGCTATTCAAAATTTGATTTGATAATGGCGACTTTTAATTTTGAATTTCGAATCACGATCCTTCAAGATCAAAAACTGTACTTTGTCATTTTAGAATATAATAACAACACAGTACTTAGATTATCTACTGACTCATCAGCTATTGGCTCAGATATTTATAAATTAAGAGAGGGTTTTTCGAGCAATCGCCAACCAGTCTACAAGGGAAGTAATGGTTTATATCTGTTCTCCATGTGCCTCATTGGGCAGCAATATTGGTACATCAGCGACACTTTTCCCCCTGATCCCGATGCGTACCACGTAAGGACGGAAACAATTGAAAATCTTCCTGTGGATATAGTGACATCATGGTCAACTCCCGTTGGTTCTATTGTCGAAGTTGATATACAGCCTTATTTGTATGGTAAGAGTTTACTTGCTTAAAGCACCCAGTGTGTCATATTTTGACTGTCTAAAAAAGAAGATATTGTATGAGCATAAATGGATTTTGTAATGTTTCAGAAACAAAACCATGCGATACTATATTCGTGTCTGGACTGAGTAATCTTGAATTCCTTGGATTATTTGACTTTTCAAACCAGTTTTCAAACGGGAGACCTGTCTACAGGCATGAATATAACAACGGATACATATACCACAAATCCGATCACTGGTATATCGGGGAGAATATCGATTCTGTGTCTGGCATCTTTAGCGTTGCCTCTTTGGCTGGTACACCATATGACATTACAGAGACTTGGGATGGCATGGTCAACATTGAAATAACATGTCAAGAAGGTAATCAATGGTGCAAATTACTATAAGCATGGACTTCTCACCATGTGAACGGTAACCCAAAGCTTTCATAACTTTAGACTAAGTCACATTTAAATTGTTGTACGCCGGCCGTAAGGCGGACGTAGCTTATCCCTATATATACTGCTTATCCCTATATTTTATGCTGCTTTTTTCTCTTATTTTGGGATCCCGGCGATTTCTGAAATGTGAAAACATTTTCATTAATTTTACTTTTGACTGACTTCTTTTATTTTTGAAGCAACAGCGACATGTACTAGTATTAGCCTAACTGGTGTACGAAAGTCGACTATTGATACTAAATATGCCGGTCTGTATGAAGCAATTGGCACTATCAATAATCGTGGTTCCTACAAGCATAAAACAAAGGACTTCTACGTTTACTATGTTCCTATTGAACACTGGATCTTGGCCGATGCTCCCGATGGGACTGACAATGTCAACATACTCGCCACATCAGCTTCAGTTCAAATAGATGTAACTGCTATCACCGGATGGAGTTTTAATGATGGTTATTCCAGCAGTAACGAAGAAGTTGCATCCTTCCACTGCAAACCACGTGAGGGTATTCTCTGAATCATTGTAAAACTGAATCTTAAAGTTCTGGATATTTATCTTAACAATGGTTGGAGAGCAATGACTAATGTGCCAGGTCAATAATATATTCCACTAATAATTCGAATTCCAGCATGGTAACGTAACGTAACTTAACGTAACGTAACCTAATACAGCTAATGATAACGTAACGTAACATTAAACATCGCATAAAATAACATATAATTATAACATAACGTAACGTAACGTAACGTGTATATATTTATATGCGTTTTATGTCATTTATAGCTACGCCTCCATGTGACAAGCTTTACATGACAGCAGATGTAGATCCAGATCAGCTGCCCCCTCAGATAGAGTGGTTTGGTATCTACACTATCACAAATGAAACTTCAGATGACCGTCCAGTATACACACTGGACGAGCTTGGTACAGTTCAGCGTAATGTGACGTTGTACCATGTAACAACAACATCGTCGAGTTACTGGTTCCTAAGTGAGTCGGTAGGTGATACAGAGCCCTGGATTAGGATATCAGATGATGCATTCTACCCCGAGCTGATTAAGCCAGACAGTTTACGTGAAGAGTTAAATAGTTCTACCTGGGTCGAGATACCTACATTGAGATTTCTCTGTTTTAAAGGTTTTGACATTTATTTCTAGTTACAGTCTACTACTAGGACAAACCAAATAATTTTTGGCAACATTCCAGATTAGAGATGATGATACAATAGTTTTGAACTGTCTATGATCAATAAAGGTATGTTTTTTGATGTTGCAGAACGAGATCCATGCAAGACCCTTTATTTGGATTCAGCGACTTATATGCCAAAGAGCATAATTATATCTGGGGCAAATGTATTTGGTGTATGGATATTAGACGAAACTCAGACATATAACAACCGACCTGTATACCACCATGAGTTATTTACCACACTGTATCTATTCAGAGTTCACCCTGTAGAATGGATGATGAGTTTTGAAAACCCCGTAGGGGTTCCTGTTGACAGCCGGCCAACCAATACACTTGCATTGCTTACAGATCAAAGCATCTATCCAGAAGATATAACAGCTCCGATGCGCATCAATATGGGCGGAAGTTATAACGAATGGCCTGGAGCAGCATTCTCGTGTTATTCTGGTAGAGCCTAACTTTACATTTATATTACATTGTATATCATTCAAGCGTGACATATCATATGTTTTACGACCGTGACTCGTCTTCTAATAATGATAATGTGTTCTCAAATCATAAAGTGACATTTTTTCTTGTAAAACATTTTAAAAATTTGTGAGCAACACTTCAAAATTAATTACCTGACGAGAAGTTATAATATCCCAACTCTGTTCACTGATGAATGAGGCCTTACTTTAAAAATAAAATGGTGTGTGGTACTAATGATTCCTATTAACTTCATGCCTTAGAAAGTCATAGCAAATTATATTCGTCCCATTGGTAGACATATGTAGTCTAGCTACACGCCCCTGTGAGGGGGGTTGGGGAGGGTACGAAGGCTTGTAGCTAGACATTTGTTGTTTTGTCAATATTGGTTTATATGTTCCTCGTATATAGCAAGTGGCAATCATCAGATTATGTCGTACAGTATTGAATCGTTCATATCGGAAAACCTCTAGCAATTGATTTTTAATGTAATTTGATAGAGGTCTAAGTACATTAAACTACAATGAATACCAAATGTAAATTACAAATGTTTATGATTTGAATTTTATTATCATGCTTTTTTTAGTTTCAACGACCTGTAATGAGCTAAGAATCAATGGGATCAGTACTGATTCACAACTAGTAATCTTCAACGGTCTTTACTCAAAGAAAGATTCGGAGTACAATTATCGTCCCTCCTATGAGCACCATGAATCTTCAGGAAATGAACGGTTATTGACATTTGGTTGGAACTCCTGGACCTCCCCTCCAGTTGCTATGTGGACTCTATTGTTTAATGGCGGTTTGGCAAACTATGTATACGAATTCATCCATGACCCATCCAACACTCGATTTAATTGGGCATCTCAGCCGACAATGAACATAGTTTGTTTGGATGGTAAGTACTTTATAGTGTCTGGAATCCATCCCGATATCTTGATATCTTTAGAATCAAAAGAAAAAGTATGTCACCGAAGCTCGAAAATAGTTCTCATATAGGGTGATATTCTAAGCCTTGCCAAGAAATGAGATATTTTTTGAGTGAATTTAACACAAAGTATCGTTCTTTACTACATGGTTTATTTGCAGAACTGGAGGTAGACAATACTACAGAATCAAAAAGAGATGAAATAACAAAGGAATGCAAGTAGATTTCAATTTTTTCCTTTTATTTGTTTCCTGAAACATATGAATAAAGAGGATTTGTTAAAATTGCAGGAAATCAATTAACTCGATTTAGATTAAATTTATGCTATCTTACATTATGAAGGCCATAGTTAACGACGGAGAACCACTAACACTTCAAGTTCTGTTTTGGGTAAAATATCACTAACTTTGTAATCAAAAAGTACAGGTTAAAGAGATTCTGGCAATGGTATTAGTACAACCTTAAAAGAGTTGTACAATATGGTTGAAAGCTGAATAGGCCAAGACCTAAATGTTTATTAGTCGAGGAAACCAATATTGGTATTCTCCCGAAAATGGACAGAATGGTAAGGGAACTGACCTTTACCACAGATCTTTGAATTCTCTTCAAAATTGTTTTTAAAATTAAAAGATGATCGGGGAACTTAAAAAGTTCTTAGCTTAGTCAGAGATTTGTTGTCGTAACCCTCTTATTTTGTTTTTATTTTAGACTGTCATGTGCTGTACTTATCTGGTGAGTACGGCCCTATCGATTATACTCCGAACCCTATTCGCTGGTATGGTTACTATTTCCTCAACGATGACTCGGATGGTACTTCGGTTTATACCCACGAGTCCAACATGAGAACTCTGAAACATGCTGCAAACAACACCTGGAAAATTACAAAAGTGGGTGACCTCACAGAACGCACGGTAGAACTACCGGTCATCGCTGCAGCAAGATCTCAAAATATGACACAAAGTTTCCTCTTGAATGATGGAACACAAGATGTTGTCTCTCAAATAACTTGCGTTCTATGTAAGTTGCTTATGGGAATGGGATATGGCTCGGACTTTTGATCAATATTGTTATTTATTTTGTGTTAACATACATTTGAGTATCCGATTCCATTTCTGAAATGATATAACAAATGTACATACACTTCATTTCGTATATAGCAGTAAGTCTGATCATTGTGTTCGAAGCAGGGTAGTGTTCCTTATGACATGCTGTACACTTTTTTAAGAATGATACATTTATTCTAATTTAGACATCGATAAATACATGTGTGCGACGTTACTCCTTGATGACATATCTGACGAGAGATTCGCGAACCTTCAAGGGCTCTACTCCACTACAGGCACCCTTCGGCAAAACCACAGACCTGTATTTCAATGGACTAGAGCGATCGCTGGTGAACAACAGAGAAAAACTAGCCAGGAATCGGTGTACCTCTATTTTCTGTCCAGAACATCAGAATGGGCAATTGGTTCTACGATGGGAGATGGCGAGGATGGCGTAATCTGTAGAGTGGTTGACCCAGTGGATGATCCCTCGCTTATATCAAGAGAATGGAACTGTCTCGATAATATTTCTAACACCATGATTCAAGTTGAATCGTTGCAGTTTCTGTTTTACCATGAAGGTACTTGCATAATATTATATCAAATAATTGTTTCTCATTTTAAAGTGGCAGTAAATGAAAGTCCTCAGGGTGGGGGGGGGGGGGGGGTTTGCGTTTAGCATACTCCTTTCATGCCTGTATCTGGCTTGTTACATTATGCTCGATTATTCCACTTGAGCACAGAGGCGCCCTCCTGTCATAACATTAGCATACCAGTTAAATGTTTCCATGCAAAAAATGTAATATTATCTCGTTAATAGTTAGATAATAATTATGGAAAAGTAGACTTTATATACAGAAATGTCTGAACCCTTTTACTGAAGCCCAATCAGAAAGGAAGGGCGCTTTTAAGGAGTGATATGAGAAAGATATATTGTTAAAGGGAGTTCACTTTTTGCCAATAAGGTTGTGCATATAATAAATGTAAGAGTTATGGCTACAGAGATGGCACTTGATAAAGTAACAGAGATGACAGCTTATTTGACAACAGAGGTAACGGCTGATATGACAACAGAGATGGCAGTTGATATGGCAACAGAGAATAAAGCTGATTTGACAACAGACAGGACAGTTGATATGGCAACAGAGATTAAAGTTGATAAGGCAACAGAGAATAAAGTTGATTTGACAACAAAGAGGACAGTTGATATGGCAACAGAGATTAAAGTTGATAAGGCAACAGAAAATGAAGCCGATTTGACAACAAAGAGGACAGTTGGTATGGCAACAGAGATTAAAGTTGATAAGGCAACAGGGATTAACGCTGATTTGATAACAGAGAGGACAGTTGATTTGACAACAGAGATGACAGCTGTTAAGGCAACAGAGAATAAAGCTGATTTGACAACAGAGAGGACAGTTGATATGGCAACAGAGAATAACGCTGATTTGACAACAGAGATGACAGTTGATATGGCAACAGAGATTAAAGTTGATAAGGCAACAGAGGATAACGCTGATTTGACAACAGAGGTGGGAGTTGATATGGCAACAGAGATGATAGCTAAAGAGGGAACTGAGAATAGAGCCCATATTGCAACAGAGATGCCAGTTGATATGGCAACAGAGATGTCAGTTGATATCACAACAGAGATGACAGTTGATATAGCAAGTGAGGGGACAACTGATATGACAACAAAAATGGGAATTGATGCAAGAGAGGTCCGTGTGACCGCTATGAACCAGCAACCTACAACGTATGGCTCAATATTAGGTGTGTCTTTGTCATATTACTTATAAGCTAACCTCTACTTGAAATATTTCCAATAAACAATTTTGATATATTGCATACATAGATATATGTGACTTGGATGAATTCTCATGTAAACATACCAGGCTTATTTACTTGACTATGGATCGATTGGTTATATTTGGATTGTGGAGTATTTGGTCATGGAGAGTATGGTGTAAATATCTTAAACATGGTTAGCCAAAAATCTTAATAACTAGGTCATCCAGTAAGTCATATTTGGCACAATTGAACCTTGTTCTATGTTCTTTTACTTTATCGAATTTCATTGGTCTGTTTCCAATTTTACAAAACATAAAAAGAATTTTACCTTTGGGACTATTTCGAAGATAATGTGTATAATATTAACATCCCCAAGAGCATTAGCGAATTAAAACAAGAGGTTAGAGAGAAATGAAAGCAATTGCACAATATATCTGTGAGTGGGAATCAGAAAACTTCACCCAATGCGTTCAAATTTGCTTCCAAAGACAAGACCGGCATTTTGAGCATGTTTTGTTAAATGACCATAAAATCGCGACCACTTGGAATAGACCAATGAAACTTGGCTGAATGAAAGACCGATGTACAAGGCTCAATTGCCTTAAATATGATTTTAAACCGACTATACTGGATTACTGAGTTAATAAGGTTTATTTTTCGTACCTTTTTTGGTTCGCTCTGTAGATTCGGATTCTACTAAATGCCATCGACATGAATGATGGAGATGAATCACACGCAAATGTATCAAAACGTGACGTTCTCCCTGTTTATTACTAATAAATGTATAATTATGTATACTAGTACTTATCAATTTAAGGTGCATCGTCCTGCGACACACTACAGCTAACAGGTCTTGTTATTCCTGATGTACCGCAACTTCAGTTGTTTGGGTTGTACTTCCGGTCGAATGAAACACAAGATGGTCGCCCAGTTTACATATTGGAAAATACAGTCTCGAACCCATACAAAGGAAAACTCTACCATATAACTACACCAATGAAAAATGAATGGGTGATCAGTGAAACTGTTGGAGAGTATGATAACCTATCACTACGGATACACGATGATGCAATATTCCCAGAGCTGATTCATGAAGCGGCGTTGTCTGAAGGATTCTATAACAACACTTGGATGGGTATACCTTCATTAAAATTCAACTGCTTCAGAGGTAAAGATCTAAACCAGTTTGCACAAGTGTTGTATCTTAGAACAACCAAATTGTGTTATTGTGTTTTGATGTTTCATTTGGCCAATAGGTGGCAGCACGAGACAGACAGTTTCGAGACTATTGTACCAAGATGGAGATTTCTAAATAGTCTACTGAAATATATTTGAGAGTAAAACCATATTTTATGTAGTTTATGATATATACGCGGACATAAGTTATTACAACAAGTAACCTGTGTACCTCTTATTTGGTATTCTTTATCGAAGTTGATGGAGGGTAGCACGTTTTGATTTTCTGCCAGTATCTATCTCCAGCAGGGTCAATCCTAGTCATATTACATTACCTCTCACTTGATTTTTAGAGAGAGACCCGTGTAAAACTATCTACCTGGATTCCAAAAGTTGGATGCCGGAGGGGGTCATTACATCGGGAGCTAACATATTTGGCATTTGGACATTGGATACTACTCAAACATATAATAATCGAGCTGTGTATCGCCATGAGCTATACAATAATTTGTATTTGTTTCAAAACAAACCTACATTATGGATATTGCAATTTGGATCACCAAAAGATATGGATGTGAATTCTGATATGTCTCCGTTGGCCGTAGCCTTTGACCAAAGTATTTACCCTGAAGATATTACTACGCCAATAAAGATCTTAGGTGGTGCTGAATATACGCCATGGCATGGACTATCTTTTACCTGTTTCTCAGGTAAATGCTCATCTATTAGATATTCATTTAAATAACAACACTAAAAAGCACAACAATTTAAGCCAACACCATAACCAATAACCCAACGCATAAAGAAAAAAATGTAATTTGTCCCCTTCCCCAACTGTCACTCTTATAACAGTTCAAAAACAAAAGACCACTGGGCATTTCAGTTAATCTGAAATCGATATACTAAATATTGAAGATTTATTTTAATACTTTATTGTAATCAGTAAATAAACAGTCCAAGGTCTGGTAGTTTTAGTTGGATTGTGCTTCTTGTTTCTGAACTGGATAGCGGGTGGTCTTATGCAGCCTTTATTGCCGTTAGATCTTTGTTTGAAATGCCGTTAATCATCTTTTCTTCTGTCTGCTTTAGAATCGTTTCGTCTTAACTATTTACTCTTTACTTTTTATTCCTTGGGCTTACCAATTGGTAAATGGATTAAAATATTCTGACATCAAAATAATTATAGATACCAATTTGCCATAGGGTCAATATCAATTCCTCGAGATTAATCAAACAATAGTCACTGAGGCATTCTGATACTCAGACCATCTCTGCTATGCACAAGAATGTTCTAAAATGAGAGAAGGCTGTGATATCTCACGATGTCACTGAGGAGGGAATTCTGATCTTTAACCAGGATCCACACTTTTTCGCCAAGTTGAAGATATTGTCCTATGACGCAAAATAAATGTTTTTTTTGTAATTACTACAAGTTATACAAGTATACTATATATTTTCAGTTGAGGATACATGCAATCGACTTACAATCAATGGTTTGAGAGAGGACTCGCCTTTTAAAGCGGTTAAGGGTATCTACGTCAAGAGTGGAGAACATCATAATCGGCCATACTACAAAAATGTTGCAGATTCAAGATGTATTCTTATGTTCACTTTTACTCCATCTCGGAATGCAATATGGGGATTCATGTTTAATGGACAGAGTGCTGGTCATGTTTTAGACTTTGTACCAGACCCCATTGATATAAGATTTCAGTGGAGTGGCTTTGGAGGATTCCAGGATATTACTATTGCATGCTTGGACGAGCCAGAGGTTGCAACAATGACTGGTGCAGCCTATGCTTTTAGTGCAACGGATGCTATTATCCGCCAGTCTTTCGTCTCAGCTGATGAGCCAGACAATGCAAAAGAGGTAGCAACAAGTATGTCTGACGTTAGAGCAAGGAATGCTGATATAACTGAGCCAGACGTTACGACAGAGGTTGCTGTACCAAATGGGCCTCACGTTAAAGCAAGGACTGCTGATATAACAGAGCCTGACTTTACGACAGAGGGTGCTATAGCAATTCAGCCTCACATTGAAGCAAAGACTGCTATTATTACAGAGCCTGCCGTTACAACAGAGGCTGTTGTACCAAATGAGGCTCTTGTTAAAGCGAAGACTGCTGATATAACTGAGCCAGACGTTACGACAGAGGTTGCTGTACCAAATGGGCCTCACGTAAAAGCAAAGACTGCTGATATAACAGAGTCTGACTTTACGACAGAGGCTGCTGTACCAAATGATCCTCACGTTAAAGCAATAACTACTGATGTAACAGAGTCTGGCGCTACGACTGAGGCGGCTGTACCAAATGAGCCTTACGTTAAAGCAAAGAATGCTGATATAACAGAGTCTGACTTTACGACAGAGGCTGCTGTACCAAATGATCCTCACGTTAAAGCAATAACTACTGATGTAAGAGAGTCTGGTGCTACGACTGAGGCGGGTGTACCAAATGAGCCTTACGTTAAAGCAAAGAATGCTGATATAACAGAGCCTGACTTTACGACAGAGGGTACTATAGCAATTGAGCCTCACATTAAAACAAAGACTGCTATTATTACAGAGCCTGCCGTTACGACAGAGGCTGTTGTGCCAAATGAGCCTCGCGTTAAAGCAAAGACTGATGATATTACCGAGCCTGGCGTAACGACAGAGGGTGCTGTAACAATCGAGACTGACGTTACATTAGAGGCTGTTTTAAACAATGAGCCCCACGTTACGCTAATAGAGGCTGTACCAATTGAGCCTAAGATCACAACAGAGGCTGTTGTACATAATGGCCTTACAATAGAGGCTGCTACACCAAATGATCTTAATGTTAAGACACAGACAGCCAGTACAACTGAGCCTGAAGCTGCAACAGGGAATGCTATGACATATGAACCTGACGTTACGATACCTGTTAATATCGAATCAAATTCCGAACCCCAGGGAGCAAGAAATACAACCTCCCGTGTTAGCCCAGATGAAATCAATCAGTCGACAGGTTGTACTAGCAAATGTGGGAGAGGAATGGTCGAAAATTTACAGGGGGAATGCATTGGTTAGTTCACCCTATATCAATTCTTTGTTATAGAAAATACCAACGCTAAAAACTACGACTTCCCAAAATCACTTACCATACTATACGTAATTCTTTGCTCTGTTGGTCAGTTAGTATTAACGCCATGATCATGAATTTCTGAAAATCTCAAGTACGATACAGGTCTATATCTATGATAAAATAGAAAAATATAAAGTGAACGCAATTCCAAATACGTTGATAGACATTTACATTTGCTACATGATAATAGTAGCTTAATTTGATTTTTATATTTTAGTTGGAACAACGTTTCAGTTGGGGATAACGTTTGATCTACCTTGGAGTGATGGACTTCTGATGACGAATTCCCCGATGTACACACAGATGGAGTCAGATATACTTTGTTCAGTAAGTAAATATAACTGTTTTTATATCGCTGCTTATTTCTTTGTCAGCCTTTGGCCACGTGTCGTCAAAGATGAGTCTTTATCCACCAGTAATCTACATCGTATGATAAAATAAGCAAAGATCTGTGTAATATTCAGTGTAGTAGTAAAAATAGAATTTACCACTTTTAGTGAATGCGTTTTTACATTTCAGATAAGACGAGGATTTTCGCCTCAGTTAACAGTTGCATCGAACTTGACTAACTTTACACCCGGGTCTATCGTTGCCAATTTAACTGTTACTGTTGCTCCGGGGAATGAGTCGATGGTTGACTACAATGTTACGCTAGAGGACATCCTCCGTGCATTTAATGTGAGAAGGGCGAGTGGAGGAAAGGAGAACCTTCCATATACTCCAGATTGTATTACCAGTGCAAATGGTTTGTATATGGTGGGCCAAAAATGTGCAATATTTTTTCGCTGGACAAGCAGTATAAGTTTTAGTCTTGTTTCTATTTAAAAAGATATCTTGTTGGTTGATAAATATTTTGTAAGAACGGTTCAAATACACCAGGGCTCAGGAATCATGCAAAAGGTACAAAAATCTGTCAAACGAGTATAGTTCTGCGCTTTCTATTTGTCCCATTAACCAAGAATAAACACTACTAAATCTCCATCTCAGATTACAACGAGTGTACCGATCAAGAGGATCTGGTTATGAGATGCGATGCAGCGGCCAGGTGTATTAATACGATTGGATCATTTGAATGTGTTTGTCCTGTTGGTACGATTGATGTCAGTCCTTATCCTAGATTCCCTGGGAGAAAATGCTCATATCGTAAGTAATAAGTTGTATGCTACACATCGTCATCGATCTTAAGTTTTGAGTGACAGTCAGATTACTTACGTTTATCTTTATCTTGATGTAGAATTGCAAGTCAAAACATTGCTTAATTTCGACAGAAACAATTTTTTTATCATCCAATTTGTTTCCGTTATTTCACCTGTAAAATATAATGGCACGGGAAATTGGTTTCAAGAGTTATTTCGATTCCAACGACTTTCATACGGAGTATTCTTTATTTTGTAAAAGTCGCTGCCCGCAGAACGCCGACCTCCGAACACCGTCTACAAAAATGTAACAATATGTCACCATTTGTGATGGTGACATAATAAAAAAAGTGTACAATGTTTTCTAATTATAGGCGACACTGACCACGATGTGCTCACCATAGTTTCCATTACGTGTCTCGTGGGACTTACGATCGTCTGCATTATCGCCTGTTCGTGTTGGATCTACTTAAAAAGAAAGCAAATGAGGGTAGTTTCGGAAAGAAAGTTTATCGAATATTTCAACAAAGATGAAACCAGGAGAATGCCAATGTCTAGACCCCCCTTAGCGTATAACAATATAAATGGAATGGGAGATAGTGGATCACAGAGTAGACGCCATGCGGGTGTTTATGGAAATAGAGAATAGATCTGAGAGGGGAAAAAACGATGGACATATTGTTTGAATATTTATTCAAGACTTTGCATGTTCGTATTTTTATTCAACTAGAAGTTTTTTGCTTGGCCTCACTTCGATTTTTTGACTAAAAGGATCGCGAGTTGTTTTTAGAATGAATCTGGGGAGCTTTTCCATGCATTTCGCTTTTGTTTTTCATCTAAAAATATCAATACACTTTAAAACATTTTATTGACTATAAGATTGCACCATATAATCCTAAAAAATATTTCTAATTTTCAAGTATTATCTATGGATTGACACCCAGGTATTGTTATTTTTCAAACTTCAGAGGGCTTGGAATCGTTATTACGATCACTTTTGAATAATATTAATGCTGTTTTAAATAGGTTTCATGTATGCCAATGATTTCCCAAATTGTGTAAATTTATGGTTCATCTTCCTTAATCCAAAGAATTTTCTCTTTGAGGAATTTCCAATGGTATTCCAATGGTATAGTTCCAAGCAGATTTTGAGATAACAGGAAAGTTAATCATTAATACACACCTCATTGGCTTGTAATATAAGCCAAAACAACAAATATTTTTGGGGGATTATATGGCGCAATCTTATAGTCAATAAAATGTTTTAAAGTGTGCGGATGTTTTTTAGATGAAAAACACAAGCGAAATGCATGAAAAAACTACCCAGATTCATTCTAAAAACAACTCGCAGTCGCTTTTTTCTTGATTGGTATATTTTAACAAGGCTAGAGTGGAAGAATACAAATGTCTTGACTTCCGTTGGAGTATTATGACATCAAGGCATTAAAATATTGTTGGTCTCAATATAGACGCTAAAAGGGTAAATATTGGAGCACAGGAGAAAAAACAAATACTGATTGTGGTGTCATTGTAACTGTACTTATAATTATTTATTCAGGATAATATGCTTTTGTATTCTAATTCAAAAAGACGATTGTATTGTCGACTGATTACATGTCTTTTCTAATACATTGATGATTGCAAAATTACTACTTTACGTCTTACTGTGATGCGTTTGGATATACGCCTTGTGTAAAGATGTACGTGATGCGTTTAGAAAGATAATTGTCAAGTAAATACTGTACGTATACAGGTATACAGACCGCCTTACCATATATTTGTACGTGGTGCATTGGATAAGTGATTGAAATTACGAATCAATGTACGTCTTACCTAAGATTTGTATGTGTTGTGTTGGATATGTGATTGTAAAGTTACTTCTGTACGTCTTACCTTAGATTTGTATGTGATGCGTTGGATATGTGATTGTAAAGTTACTACTGTACGTCTTACCTTAGATTTGTATGTGGTGTGTTGGATATGTGATTGTAAAGTTACTACTGTACGTCTTACCTTAGATTTGTATGTGGTACGTTGGATATGTGATTGTAAAATTACGACTGAACGTCTTACCTTAGATTTGTGTGTGGAGCGTTGGATATGAGATTGTAAAATTACGACTGTACGTTTTACCTTAGATTTGTATGTGGTGCGTTGGATGTGTTATTGTAAAGCTAAGGTTACTACTGTACATCTTGTCTAATAAATGTAAGTGGTGCGTTTAGAAATTTTATTGTCAATGACTACTGTATGTTTTACCTAATAGAGGTAGGGTGCGTTTGATTTTTATTGTACCTCAAAAAAGGTACGATGTTGTCGTCAGCTTGGCGGGCGGGCGGACGGGCTTTTCGTGTCATCAAGATTTCAGGAAAACCACTTGACAGATTTACTTCAAATTTTTGTTCTAGAGCTGATTAACTTTTCAGCAGCCATCTTGCATTCTGGCGGCCATTGTGAATGTTTTTATTAGATAAATCTTGTCTTCGTGATTCCAGGAAAACCACTTGAAGGATTTACTTCAAATGTTCACACATGTTACATAAGAAGAAGTTCCAGAGCTGATGATACCATGTTGTGAAGTTATGCAGATTATGTTGTGCAGCATTATTTACCCCATGGAGCCAGAGTATTTAGTCTAATATCTAAATATAGCTTTCAATATATTTATTTATCTATGAATGATTCTGCTGTTGTAATTTCACACCTTCGACAACCCGCCTGAAATCCTCTTTTGGATTTCTATGTTTGGCGACATAAAGAAATTGAATGGACGGGTCATTTTCTAGTTCCGATATCGAAGCCTTTTTAATTCTGAAAACAACACTCAATAAAGAAAACAAAAATCAGGCGATGGCAAAATCGTGCCGGATAGCTCGAGTTTCACTACAAACAAGAAATCGGTAGTTGGCTTTGTTTAACCAATGGGGTAAATCGTTGATATCAAGGCGTCAATAATGATGACAATTGGAAATTGGAAATCAATTCATCCAGTTGTCTGAGAAAACATATTCATCCCCGTTTCAAATAAAACCTACGTTTTGCTGGTTTTACAGGTTTTCCCTCTGAAACTTTAATATGAACCATGAACCGGAATTTCTTGAACTTTTTAAGTGATGACGATGGTGATGTCTCGTATATTTAAAAATGATATATTGCTAATTCTCTGTATTTTAGATTTACCCCTTAAAACATACCTTGGGAGATAAATTGTTTATTGGATCTCAAACAAAACCATTTTTTCTATATTTGGTTGATTTTCGATGGTTACTATGACATATATTTGTATTCCTCTGTTTTTATATATCTCGGATCTAATTAACAAAAGAACATCGTTCGGAACATCGACCGACAAAATGAACATATTGAATTCAAACAAACGGAATATTCAATATATGTGTTCCCACTAGAACTAGTCAATGTGGCCAGCGGTGAGGTCTTTCTTTAAATCGTGAGCCAAATATAAATAAGAAGAGGACAATATGAGAACTTGATTTAAGAATTTTACACGGAAAAGGGCAGAGACTATGTTTACAAACACTAGCACATCGGGAAATGTTGGACTTAAAGTGTACAATGTTCACCAAGATGACATCACACCAGTAACTGTGCTTTTTATACTCTTCGAGCTGTTTTGCGTCATCGGCAACATCGTCGTCATCATCAAAATCAAGAGAAAGACACAGTTGACTATCTATGATGTTATGTCAATCGCGTTTGTGATCGTGGACGTCATTGTATGTGTGATTGTTATGAACTATAAGTTAGCGTGGTTGCATGTGGACGTTTCACAGCCATCTGAAACGTGTTCAATAATCGTATGGACAACATTCACGTGTACCTTTTCGTCGATGTGGTTTATCCTGCTCATACTTTCGGATATCACACGTGAAATATGCGATAATTATAAAATCATTCCACATTGTACATGCGTACAACTTTCATCACTGTCACGAACTACTTTATACCTAGTAGGAATAACTGTTTTTGTAGGTTTAGAAAGTATTCCTATCGTGTTGTTAGGGAGAGGCTCTCTCCCGCAGGAAACTGCGAGAGTAATACTTTGCGGGGGAGGTGATACATACAAAGGATCTATTGACCAAACAGGAGGTATTGTTGTAGTTGTGTTATTGATTGCGAATTGGATTGCGTTTATTCTTGGAGTGGCAATCCTTGCTGGGAATATAGTCATAGCGACGTGTCAGATATCAAAACAAAAGCAAAAGGTCCGGCCGAACAAGGTGACAGCGCGGTCCATCCAAATTCTTGACACTGAAACTCTTTCAACAGATCTACAGGGAGACTTAGATACAAATATAACTGACGAAGCACCTACATCGAGTTCAGTCAATGCCAATGCTCAACAAAATTTGGACACAGACACCCAAAAGGACACCAGGGTATGTGATGATGATAATAAGCACGATACATGTACCTCCCAAGCCTCAGAAAGCACACATTATAATAAATCGAGACCAGCCACTCCAGTCACTAGTGTTTCAAAACAATTAACTGACTATCAAACTGATATCAACGATGATGACGGTTTGGATAAATCCAGAACTCAAACTCCAGTCACTGCATTCAACAGAGTCGTCGATAAAGACTCACACGTAGATGATGTTAAACCTGCCAATGTGAAAAGATTGAAGAGTGCGGATGGTGTGTTTATTCGGAGAAAGGCTATGCATGAAGAGGACATTAAGCTAACACTAACGGGATCCATCCTAGTCACCATGGCAACCCGACGATGGAAGATCCGTAAACAGAACGATACACGAAAACGTGTCGCCCTGTTGTACATTTCAGTAGCCATGTGTATAATTGTCACATGGATACCTGTATTCTTATTTACATTTGAGGGTGTCTTAAGAAGTTTCTTTTTGGTACAAATGTACTATTTCACATTCGCATTCCGACCTGTTTTATATGGAGTTTTTAGTCCTTCGTGCCGCCAAGGCATCAATAAGCTATTTACTCAAATATTCAATAAATGAATTCAGACGGATAATGCTCTTATTTATTTATCATGTTTTTATAGCATCGTCTCTTTAATAGAATATACAATTTCATAGAAAGCGGCGTTGGTGTTACATTATATGAAAACAACTACTATTTACCATTAAGCTAATAATATTAGCTGACATTTTGTTCATGTCGTGGAATCGATTTAATAATCACTTTACCTTTTGTTTAGTAAGTAGGATTCAATTACTAAATGGTAAAGGTAATATTTGTTTAATGTTCACTGTCTTTTTATAAGTAAGAGCTAAACTAAGTGTTGTAAAGTATCGAAAGCAGCGGATATGTCTAAAATAGCACGAACATCTTATATTAATGATTATAACAAGAAAAATAATGGATTGTATTTTTGGGGTCACTCTGCATATTACATCCTTAGATATTATTCGTTTTTACAAAAAAATCCCTGTAGAAATGTTATTGTAGAGCTGCTGAAGAGGATTTCATATTCTAAAGCCTGCAGCCTTACGTTTGGTGTAATAATTACATGTTCAATAAGTACCAGGTTTTGAGGAATGTAAACACAAATCATCTTGATCCATCAGCATCCAAGGTCCAAAACAATACGTTACAAAATGTCTAAAGGTGTTTTTAAGTGATGTATCCATATTTTAGTCTACATTAAGAAGATATATCCTAGCCTACTAATCGAGAAAAAGAATGAAAAAGACACGGGGATATGATTGACATGATGTAATAAGAGATACTATCAAAAAATATTTTACTATTGCACGTCCGGTGGGCCTCAGATCAAGGTATTACATCTGTGTATGAATGAGCTTTTTTCTGAAAAAATACCTATACTAAACTTTTATACATGAATACTATATAGCTATGCTGCATCTATTGTTCCCTCACAAATCTGCCATCTTTTGGCGGCATTTAAAAAAAGCCGTTATCAGTGTTATATATGAAGAACGGGTATGTCAATTTTCGGTAAATTTCTTCATATTGCATTATTAACCCTAATGCAGACAGATGAGTGTGTCTGGGTTTCCGTGTGGTTCTTTTTTGTATCGCGACCGATGCCACCATTTTTACATTGGCTTGCCCGAGCCACAGATAAGCTAACACCCCAGTCACATTTCCTACGGCGACCTTGCGGTCTATCATTTCTGCGGCCAGTAGCTTTTCTACGCTCGCCGCAGAATTTCTGCGCTCTCATACTTTTGCAGTCACATTTCCTACGGCATCCGCACGGTGAATTTTAAATTTATATTGATAAATAATACTTTTTTTCATTTTATTTACATCAGGACAATTTGAAATGTTATTCAAGGTGCTAGGATGTAATATCAAATGAAAAGTGATCGTGAAACATTGACAAATAATGATTCAATCTTGTTGGACCAGTTGATTTCTACGGGGACCTCAGAAATGAACAAATATTATAACTCCGAGTTACAATTTCTACGCCTTCCCTGCGGCCTGTAAAAATCTGCATACGCCGTACGGAGGCCGCAAGGCGAGCGTAGTTTTTCTACGCTCGCCGCAGAAATTCACCGATTTAATTGTTCTGCGGTCGACTTGCGGCCGCCGTGCGACAAATGTGACTGGGGTGTTAGCCATTTTTCCAAGTGGTCTTACTTTTTATTGTGCCAATTTTTTCCACGTAAATAATTGTTTAATTTCATGGGTACACTCGACATCAGTTATATGGGTACACTCGACATCAATTATATGGGTACACCCGACAATTCAGTGGTTTCAGTAACTTTGTGTACAAGAGGCAGATGAAAAATACAAGAGGCGGCATTCAAAATAACCAATTTTACGCTCCCGACAATGCAAATTCTTGTTATTTTAGAGTCCATGGACTGAAAGAAAGATGTCCAAGGTTTGTCAAAGTCATTTCCACGTGTGATGTGGCAAGACATGGGCTCCACAAAATAACACCTGGAACTGTGGAATGACTAGGGCAACTTATATAGAATGTCATTAACCTTTTATAAGATAACTTATCCGTACACAGGTTGCATTTCACAAATCCAAATGCACCTGTTGAATTGAACACTTTTGATATAAATCAAAATCTAGAATTGTCATTATTAAAATGAGAGTGATGTATTAATAGATGATTCACTTGTGATTATGTGTATGTCAGATTCATTTTAGTTTTTTAACACCTCCAGAGGGTCCAGGGTGTTCCAAAAGTAACAGGACTGGTGCTGGTATTTTGTTAAATATACACCAATTGTCTTCAAAATTTTACATAATGTGCCTTCATGTTTTGTAACTAAAATTGCCGAATTACATACTTTTTGTCGAAACTAATTTAGAAATCGGCCGATGACTACTCATCGGCCAGCGCCCGGCGCATATGTGGCCTAGGCATTAGAGAGAGACCGAGGTGGGAGATATCCCCCTCCCCTCTACACCAAACTTGTTCTCACTACGCTTTCGAAAATTATCTGAAAGGCCTTCTAACACATTATTAAGGAAAACATATCTACACATTTTGCGCATTTAACCATTTGATAACATATTGTGGATCTTATCTTAATTTGTTAATGTAAATTCGCACCTTCCTTTGCATGGAAGACTTTGATAAAATCCTTTTTTGATGATCTTTGTTAGAATGCTGATGTTTGGCTAAGCTTCGAAATTCCAAATTGAACAGTCTACTAAAGATACCATGTTGTAAATATTGTTTTCTTTATAATATATTGAGCTAGGACTGCTCAAACAAATTCGCTGTTTGTAGCTTCAAGTATTTAATTTCAATAGATGATAAACTTCTCAATATAAGAAATTACCCTCATATGACATTGTTGCAAGGTGTGTTGCAATGAATGTGGCACCCCGCATTCCCAGGCCCGCAATATGTATCCTCAAAGAAAGCCATCATGATAAACCATGACATCTCATTTCTTCTAAGCCCTATGTTTCAGGTGAAACAGAAAGATGCTATGAGTATCAGAATGGAAGAAAGCATATATTTGCATTGATGGTGTATAGATAGTTATTTTATATAGTGTTTTTAGTTGTACGTGGAAACCTATTCTAACCAGGAAGGATATTGCAACTTTGTTCAAGATCCTAAAGTTGCAATTTTCGTTAAATGTAAAGACGCACCTGTGAAAGTGTTTCGCTGGTATAAAGGCGTAGTTCTAAATAAATTTAAGATACACGTTTTTTAAACTTGTACGTGAACGTGTAGAATTATGGACTGATGGATTTTTTCTCCCTTTTGTACTGTTAATACTTGGCCGGTTGAATATAAAGGTATACATGTCCCAGCTTTTGGTAAGTGGGGGTCAACCTACCCCATCCACACATACACTTTTTATCATGCTTAACTTCGCATTGTAATTACAAGTCCACCCGTGTAGCTCTGCGGTAGTGCATGTAGCTCTTACGCAATAGGTCCCGGATTCGATCCCCGATTCAGGCAAGACTAAATTTGCTTGTTTGCGTGAAGTACTCCAGGGTGTTTGACTGAGTGGTCCGCAACTCGTACAAAAAGGCTGTGGTGTGAACTTGTATGTCTATGTATAAGTGCACATAAAAGAACACAGGGCTCCTTCAAGGAGGGGTTTCTTGGTCTATTTTCCATGTTAATTACGTAAATTACGACCGTAAATATACGGGATATACCCAAGAGGTATTGCTCACCTTCATTGGTGGTAAACAAAATACAATACAAGAGTGCTATAAACGAGACACCAGTATGATAAGGTAGGGGTACAATATAGGGCCCAAATCTTGAGAAAGAGTCGAAGGCATGCGAGGCGAATCCTGGAAACTCGGGTTCGGGAAAGCGGGGTTCACTGTTTGGTTCCGTTGACACCTGTGCGAAACTACATTCATAATTTATCCGTCTGCGACTCGATAAAGAAGAATTATCAAAGCTCATCAAGAATGGACGATCTTACACAGGTACTCATATAAGAACCTCTATATCTTTTTAACACCAATATAAAGATTGAAAAACGGACACACTATGTTAAAAATGTTATATCTAATGTGCCAATTCAATGATTTAGCATATCGAAAATATTTTCAACCTAAGTGACCACATCGTGACATCACTTAGGTGGCAACATTTTTCAATGTCAATCTTTTCTAAATATGCTAAACTTAAAAAATAAACCAATTTTGACTGTCTAACCAGGTTAAAAGGATGAATATATTATGTTTTTAATATTATTTTACCATTGGTTTCTATGAGAATTAAAATTTTGAAATGCATCTTTCCCTGAACTGCTTTCATGCATGGATGAGTTCATTGCTCGCTCATCTATCAACCAATTTTCTTGATTTTGTCGGCAAAAAAACAAGTGAGGATGATTGCTATGCATCGGTGTGAATTATCACTTCAAAGGAAAAGTGTGACCTCTTAAAGTTAGTTTTAAATAAATTCACGATATTTTGAACAAAAAGTCCTCCAAAAACATTTTTGAAATTAATAAAAAAGTTTCACATTTCACATTTAATGAGATCAAGTGATCTTTACGATTATAGTGGGTTCCAGTGCAGTTCGAAACTGAGGTACAAATCATAGACAAGGAAGTGCAAAACAAGATCGCTGAATAAAATAAAGGATAGTCTATAGAAGACTTTTAATTTTCCCTCAAAACTTAGACAATATTTGACTTCTAACAAACGACGGATTGTCGAAAACAAATGGCGATTTTGGACACTCGCCCCCTGCAATTGAAAGCCCAGGACATACCCAGAGCAGAATGTAGGAAGGGGAATCTTCAAATATAGAGTCAAAATTCAAGCCACCTTTTCATAAAATCTCAATCCCGTAAGTAGAAACATGAGTTTAAATGTTGGGAAACTTGACATTGTATTCTCATGATGCTAATTTGACGATCTATCGACTACTATCTATCAATAAAAATATATTGCGATGGACCTTTTTGCCCCATGTTCCCCTTGGCAGGTGAAGTCAGTTTATTTAGATGGGAACACTGCTGAAAACTTTAAAAACTAAAGGGTTGGTATCGATATGGCGAACTGAATTCAACATAGTTTTTTTCTACCAATTATTGAAAACATTTTTCGTTATTTTGTAACGAAAGGACCCACGGTCCTGTGCTCACACAGTTTGGAACCTTCAGAGAAATGTATATCCCTGACCTTTCGAAGGTCACTGAAGGTCAAGTAAAGGTCAAATCCTAAAACTAAGATTTGAACTCCTGGCAACTTGTAGATGATTTTCCCAAAAATTGGTCAAATTGAAGCAAGTTGAAAAATAACTTATTTTTACTGTTTTTGGCGTAAAACGCCTGGTCGATCCCATAGGCTCACTGTGTGAGCCAAAAAACACGGTCCTTTATGTAAGGGGGCACTAATTGACAACAATTTAATGCGAAAATTGTATATATTTTATCTAACTGTTTTTGTTAACATTTTTTGGTTTTTAACTGCAATTTGTTTTTTGTTCCTTTCTACAAATTCTTGAGAATGAAATAAAATATCTTTCCGAACCTTGTTGGAACAAAATGGCATATGAAACATTTTCTGAGACCTCTCAATATTATAGCTATACAAAGGAAAGTCTGGTTCATCTAACAATAAGCTTAGTATTCAAAAGATTAAAACAACCCCCCCCCCCAAAGTTAAAAATCAAAGTAAACCTTTTATTTCATTAACAAGATACTTTTTAAAATGATCCAAACTTTCATTAGTACAATTACAGTATTGAGAGACCTAGACACGTTGTGTATGTCATTTTGTTCTAATGAGGTTCCGATAGAGGTTTCATTTCCTCCCGAACATATACCAAGAAAGGGGTGTCTGGTGTGTTCTGAAACAATATAGAGAAAAGCATATCATCTATTTCTTTAGATTAAATCGTTACCATTCAAAAGATAACCATTAAATTGACGATGTGTAAAATTGTCAGATTTTTAACATTTGTTAAATCCAGTTCGCCATATCGACATTGATTTTTGCACTTAAGTTAAAATACCAGAAAATATTACGTACACGTACGGAGAAACTAACTAAAGTGAATTCTGTGCTATTATGTGCTTTGTGCTATCGTAATGCTTAGAACAACTTCCTACTGGAATTGAATACAAAACGAAAAGAATGAAAGTAATTAAAACAATTTCCTTGTCGATGTACACCCCCTCCATAAGTTTGGCAACCTTTTCCCCCATTGAACTACGTGTAAAAGCCTCTTTACGTTTGAATTTTTATTTACTTAACCGGTGATGAAATAGCTTATAATATTGATGGAACTTGACTTTATTTCCAATACCTCCAAATTTTCTCAATTTTTTTCCTCAATTACAATAAGTCGAAAATTGATGATAAATTGGATGCATTTTTGAAAATCGTCATTCTCATGTAATCCAATGGGAAATGGAGGGTTTGGGGCAAATCAAAAATCAGGATATCTTTTCAGTAAAAGATTCAGCAAAATATATTTTGATATAGAAAATTGAATTGTCTAACTTTTTTGAACATTAAGTGTTTAGTTTATTTCATGAATATTAAAGTTACAGCGCTTCAAAGTCATTTTTGAAAATAATTTTTCGCCTCCTGTGTTATTTCAATGGGAGAGGTATTTGAAAAACAATTTTGACTTTAAAGCCCTATAACTTTGTTGAACCTGAAGAAACATATCAATTTTTTGTTAAATAAAGTTAGCAAATTCAATTGCCTGCCTAACTCGTATTTTTTGCAAGGACTCGGATAGATGGATATTCTGTCATATGACTTGCGGCAAACCTACCATTTCCCATTGGTTAACATGAGAATGTCGATTTTCAAAACTTCATCAAATTTATCATCAATTTTCGACCTATTGTAATTGAGGAAAAAATTGTGAAAATTTGGAGGTATTGGAATTAAAGTCAAATTACGTTTCCATCAATAGTATAAGTATTTTTATCGCAGGTTAAGTAAATAAAAATTCAAAGGTAAAGAGGCTTTAACACGTAGTTCAATGGGGGAAAAAGGGTTGCCAAACTTATGGAGGGGAGTGTACTAAGAACTGCTTTACTAACTCATGATCGAATCTCATGTGTGAATATGATAGCCATATAATCTTTTCCTCATGATCCGTTATTGTTTTCTTAAGAGGTTGGGTTGAACATACAATCGGGAAGAATACTCGAGGCTTCTGAAAGGTCAGTACATTAAATTTGTCATACTTTAAGAGATGGTTAGTTTATTTTTTCAAAAGTGTTTTTGCTGATAAAAATATCATTTTATTTTGTTGATCATTATTCACATTAGAGATGGTATCGTCATTGTATGAAATCGTCATTGTATGAATATCTGAATGCTGTTAAACTGAAGTAATAATGTTGTTCTAGGTAGCGTTCATTGTACAAAATATCACGATGATACAATTCTTGGTGATGTATGGCATGATTGTGTCGACCCACTGCCAGTTGACAACGACATTGACAAATTCGTCATATAAGCAAGCCGTTTGCCTTAACGTGTTCTCGGAGATGCAGGAGAACATACATAGAAAGAATCAAGAAATTGATAAATTGAAAGAAACTACAGAAGAAACGCAGCAAGCAATGTCAGAGCTTGTGGCTGACATCACAAACCTAACAACACAGAATACCCGTTTGCATGTAAGTATGCAATGCACAGATTCGTGATTTTTCTACATTTATTTTCGACCTTGTATCGAATGTCTTTAAATTGTTTATTTTGCGATATATATGACTTTACCGACCTGCTAAGTTCGTGAAAGACTAAAATAATCGTCACCGACAAGACGAAATAGTAGGAGAGACTAGATCTTGTTTATGTTCTTTATGAGCTTAGTCAGTGAACAAATAAGCAGATTTGCCAATTGTGCTTTTTATATGTTGGATATACTTTCATGTAAAAACGATAAAATCTCTTCTCTTGAAGCTTTCGTGCAAAACTTTTCGAACGACCCTAGTATCATTGCTTTAAATAAATGAGGAGAGGAAATAACCCTACATGCATTTCCTTTGCTGATATCATTCTCTCAAAGATGTCAAGTGTACCGGGTGCAGGGGCGGATCTTTGATTGAAATTTTGAAGCCCATTTTTTTCAAAATTTGGCCTGAAATTAAAAAATAAGGTTATGATCAAAAAGGCCCACTTTTTGGGGCCTTGAGGTGGGGTAAGGCGGAACACTACGGGACAAAAACGGGACATCCCATGCTGATGCACAATTTATATTTAAACACCAATTTCTTGAATTTTAGTGATGCCAAAGTACTGTTATTAAAAAGCGACATATGATGCAATGAAGAACTTTTACAACATATGAAAGAAAGAAAATATTTTGGCACTCAATCATGTATTCTAAATCATAGGATTTTGACACTCACACAGATAGAAGTACGTGTATATTCGGGTCGAAACGGAACAGGGTGTATTTTAATTTGGTGAGTTAATTTACAGGATGATGTTCAAGAGATGCGTGCGTGGAGAAGAACTGGAAGAAAAGGTGATACCGACTCTCCTGGTATGAAAGGTAGCAAAGGTAGTCCAGGCTCTCCTGGAATCAATGGTATCCCGGGCTCTCCTGGATTAAAAGGTAGCCCTGGCTCTCCTGGTATGAAAGGTAATGCAGGCTTCCCGGGATTACAAGGTATCCCCGGCTCTCCTGGGATGAAAGGTAGCCCTGGCTCTCCTGGTATGAAAGGTAGTGCCGGCTTCCCAGGATTACAAGGTATCCCCGGCTCTCCTGGGATGAAAGGTAGCCCTGGCTCTCCTGGGATGAAGGGTAGCCCCGGTTCTCCTGGTATGAAAGGTAGCCCCGGCTCTCCTGGTACGAAAGGTAGTACCGGCTTCCCAGGATTACAAGGTATCCCCGGCTCTCCTGGGATGAAAGGTAGCCCTGGCTCTCCTGGGATGAAGGGTAGCCCCGGTTCTCCTGGTATTAAAGGTAGCCCCGGCTCTCCTGGTATGAAAGGTAGTGCCGGCTTCCCGGGATTACTACAAGGTATCCCCGGCTCTCCTGGGATGAAAGGAAGCCCCGGCTCTCCTGGTATGAAAGGCAATCCTGGCTCTCAAGGAATCAAAGGTAGCACCGGCTCTCCAGGTATAAACGCCAGGTGTAGAAAGGAAACGCGATGTCCCGTAGACTTCACGCAGAATCAACGATCCTGTTACTTGTTTGTACATTCCTCTGGAGCAGCAACAACATGGTTTCAAGCAAATTCATTTTGCTTCTCCCACAGCGCTCATCTAGTAGCTATAGAATCATCTTCTGAGCATCAGTATATTGTAAACAGAATCAGAGGTTATGGTGCAAAGAACTATTGGACGGGTATGTAACTGTTACTGTCTATTATTCTCTTGGACCATGGGCTTTCAATAGATCTATTGAAAGCCCATGCTTGGACTCGTCATTTCATAATTATTTATTCGAGAAAAATTGGAAACTTTTATATATTTATTTCAGTTGGATAATATATACATTTGAATCTCGAAAGGTTATGACATGAGAATCAATGTGGATGTAGTCGTGGACAGTTAATTTTATTCGGAACCAGATAATAAATTAATGTCCAGCTGTGTATCACATATTCCACAAATGCAATTAGGACTGTCAATATATTTTAAATTATCGCCATAAAGCTTTAACTGTCTCACATATTCGATCAAAACTTGCCATGCAAACATGTTAGTCTACTTTACTGGCCCCCCCCCCTTGCTGTAACGAGGAACCCAAAACACATTAAAACGTAAACATAAACCAATTAGTCACTTCACTATGAAAGTGAGGGGTGTTAGCAAATGTGTATTTATACAATAACTTGCCAATTAGCAGAATACACTGTGTGCATGGACTAACACAATATCAGTGGTCATTTACTGTGTCAACTTAGTATCCCTTGCATATCGTGCTCACTCAAGTATTGCATAATTTTTTATGATCTAAATGTTTGTGGTTTATAAAAAATGTGATATATTTTAGTTAGAAATACATTAATTAATATATTCATTCAAACAGCACTAGAATGCGGGAAGAAAGAGCAATGGTGACAAAATGCAGACAGAATTTTCCGTAAGGGTTTCAAACATTTCTGGACACAATCATACATGTACTTCATGTGTACTGTTATTTTAGTGCTGTATTTATAGATATAATTTCACGTATTTAAATCATATTTTCCAGCAATGACTTCAAATTCGGAACCACACCCATATCACATTTTTTTCAATAACTCCAAACATGTGTAAACAATTACTAAACATTGACCATGTGCAAATAAATTCAGATTTCACGAGCTCTTTCCTATTCGAGTACCTCATACACCCCTGCATGGATTTGAGTTGGATTCGCCTTTTATACGTGAGTCGGTACACATCGCAAACGCTGATGATTGGATAAAGATTGCGAGAATCTTTAATCTAAGCCAGTAATATGTCAGCCTTATTAAATTCTTACTCATTGTAATAACGAACTTTACTTGCTGTCAAAATTATTTAGTAGAGCGGTCTTTGATTTTTCCAAATTCGACCATTCGGTCTATAAACTCATTGATATTAGGCTATATATTAGGTGGAAATAACCTTGCTGGGGGCTATATGTGGAGTGGAGGGCCATGTTTCACAGCCAAGCCTGTCGTGTATACTAAGTGGGTAAGGGGTGAACCTTCAGGAGGACACGAGAAGTGCATTCATCTTTGGAATCATAGATCTCTGGATTGGAATGACGCCCCATGTACAGACAATATGAATTTTATTTGTGAAATCAATTTGTAATGTCAAGACTTATTTAAATAGTCTAGTTGTAAGACATCAATAGTAGCAACAGACCATCAAGAGACCAAATGATGCTCCAGGGAAATTTAGAAGTTATACCCCCTCCATAAGTTTGGCAACTTTAGCTCCCACATTGAACTTCGTGTTAAAGCCTCTTTACCTACCTGAAATGAAAATACTTATTATAATGATGGAAACGTAATTTTAATTTATTTCAAATACCTCCAAATTTTCTCAATTTTTTTCCTCAATTACAATTATAGGTCGAAAATTGAGGATATAGTTGGTGAATTCTTTTAAATCGACATTCCCATGTTAACAAATGGGAAATGGTAGGTTTGCCGTAAGTCATATGACAGAATATCCATCCATCCGAGTCCTTGCAAAAATACAAGTTATGTGGGCAATTGAATTTAGGGGAGCTAAGGTTGCCAAACTTTTGGAGGGGAGTGTAAATTGGTAAAACATGCATATAAAAGAGAAAGTTATCTTAATTTACCGAATTCCACATATAGACAATCTATAGCTAATGTATGGTTATCAATGCACAACTTCCCGGGTTCGACACCACCTCATAGTAGCAAAATCGAAACAATTTTATTACTTCTGTAATTCGAAAAATATAGTAGGTGATGAAGAACACGCTCTATTTTATTGTTCTCAATTAGAACTAAAACGAGCTTGATCTTATATGTCACACTGTGGCTAGTCGATCTATGTGGATGCAGTCATTTATATGTAATGTATCGTGGGTACTCGCGTACATTATAGGGAATGGGATCATTGCAAAAATATGACAGCAAATCGAGGTAAGTGATCTCAGAGTTTCTACTTAACATTGTGACTTGAAATCTTGCATACATATTCAATATACATAGTATGACAATGTGGGAAAGTTTCAGCTACCATATTCCTGTTATAGAGAAGATATTTGAAAAACATTTCGTAAACGTCAACATATATGTATAAAATGGATGCACCTATGTATCATTTGGATTCAGAACGGTAACAAATGGATGCTTTAATAAATAATACTTTATCATGATGATTTATTTACTGATGGACAACTGGCCAGATTTTCTTTGTATCCATTGTTCGGATAAACATTCCTTATTCATTAAAGTAATTAGCCACCCCATTACAAGTAGTCTAAAGACACCCTCATGAAAAATTGGAAATACTATATATAAACCCATCAACTGGAAAATGCCATTACAGATGAAATAAAGGACCCACGGTCCTGCTCACACAGTGTAGAACCTTCAGAGGAATGTATATCCTGATTTTCAAACAAAAGTATTGGTAAATATGAGATCAATGAAAGATGAGTCCTTTGTTGTTGGTTCAGATATGATTTGTTGTAGTCAAAGGAAAAACTATGAATTTGACCTAGATTTTGACCTAGGCCTTTTAGTGTCCAAATTTTGAAGGAAAGTAGATTTTGAGGACGGCTTCTATTGTAGATTCTTATTAAGTTGGCTTCATCCAAGCTGTATATAGTGTTGTGTTGTTACAATTAATAATTTTCTCAAGCCCCATTGACTTAACATGGGATACCAAAATAGCGATTTTTGAGATTTCAAAACGCCATTACTTCCGAACCGGAAGTCGGATCAAAATCTGGTTTGCAGATTCGGATTCTTTGGACAATGCTACACATATTTCATAACTCATACATTGAATTCCAAGAAGTTTTTATTGTGACCTACTTTTCGGATGCCATATCTCAAAAACGGTAAGAGTGATCAAAAACAACTTGCCTGTAGGGATTAGCTTTTTTCCAAGGAACATGATTAAAAAAACGGAGCAAAAATATTGAAGGACGACTGAGAAAATTGAAAAAATGACAAAGTACTGGATTTGACCTAGTTCTTGACCTTTGACCTAGATAAAACCTGATAAGACTTGGACCTGAACTGGACCTTGACTTGGACCTGGACCTGGACTTGGACCTGGAAATGGACTGGACTGGTATTTTTTCAATCTTTTCTTCACTTCTCTTGACTTTCTATAAGGCTATTATCAGATCGATTTTTCTCGAAATTTAAAATTCAGCAATTTCTCGGAAACCGGGCGAACTTGGGAAATGGCGATGATAGGTCAAATAGACATTATGGATATGCATAAAATGAATGTGGAAATGACTCAATCCGAATAGCAGTTTTAATTTGTGCAGCAAATGTTGACAGACGGACGGACCAACGGACGGACGGACGGATCAATGGAAGGACGCCTGGTCGATCCCATAGGCTTACTGTGTGAGCCAAAAACTGGTTTTATAGCTTATACTGTTAATTTGAAAAACGGGTCCATAACATGTAATGATGACAATGAAAATGTTGAAATTAGGTACGCCAATGAAGTGAATTCAGAGCAAAAGACCCATCGACCCACTGGAATACCCACAAATCAAGTTTCATAGCCTTGCCCAAGTCGGTCTCTTTTACTTATCTGATTTCTATTATGACCACCTTGTACCCAAGAGAAAGCCACGTGCTTTACCGACCCAATGTTTTTGTCGGTAAAATTTGACAAATCAACGACGAGCCTACATTGCCGGACTAGGTTTTTGTGCATTTCTTCGAGAATTCAGTTTTGATTTTGAATCAATATTGAATTGCATGATTTCATTTAGACGAGTATTAATGACGGCTTACATTCCAATGTACATTTAATAACATAATATATTGTAACTCTCAAGAAACACTCGATCAGATCATTGAATTTCAAGTCCTAGACGGGTAGTTTGCTTTTTTTATACAGGTCAACCTGATAACGTTTTGATTGGTCAATCAGCCTGAAGTCACACGTTGTGTCCATGTCCATATTGTCAATCAATATGGTTTTGCGATACCGTTAGGTAGCCTAGGTATTATGGGAATCTCGGAACCGCTGAATAACTTAGCATAATATCAGCGATGATGCATTGGATTGTTTAAGGTTGTAATAATTCAAGATCAGATAAGTAAATAAATACCGACTTGGGCAAGGCTACAAGTTTCAGAGCCATTAATATTCCTTGAAAGTGACAATGAGCAGCCAACAGATGGACCATCCGTAAATCTTGATGATTTTGTCAGCTCAGCTGAACGAGCCTCCAGATTCCTTGAAACAAATGACCATAATTCAAGAATAATATTATCTAATTACAATTTTTTGAAATCGTGGTAAGTGGAATCTTTCCGATTACCAATATAGCATTATTATTGTTTTTTGACACTGTGGATTAAAATATTAAAAATACACACATTCAAAATGATTCAATTGAAACCTAGCCAGTCTGTTCAATGAATCCAATCAGAACGTCTACTAATCCACATGATACATCATAATTAAATTGCTTTTTTAAAGCGGATATTTCATACCATAACCCCAAAAATATTATAGAACGCATTGTATTTGTATTTTACTTCACACAGACATATTTGTGTATATGTGAAATAATTATATTACTTGAATTTTTTATTCCCCATTACAAGGTAAACCTATAGCAAATTATACAGCCTTCTCACAGCTGTGAGCGTGATGATAAAACTGGTCGAGTGAACTCGTTTGAGTTATCTATTGTCCGTAAAAATATCAGAGAATGTGTGTTTATAGCGTAGCTTTGGTTTTGTAAATCAATGAAGTATGATATACACAGATGAGTAAATATAGATTATTCAAACAGAAGAGCAAAATTCTTCCATTGAAAAGTACAGAGGCGGGTACTCACGAAACATTACATGTGCCTGACTGCATCCACATAGATCGACTAGCCACAGTGTGTCAATCAAATAAATAGATATATAGCGAATGATGATACCATTTAAAATGAATCAAATCATGGTGATTATTTCACAAGAGTTCATAATATTACCAAAGAGCTATTAAACAAAAAGGATGTTAAATTATTTTATAAAATCTATTTTGTTTATTGAATTTATATCTCGATGTACCTTAAATGAGTTCAAGAGACCAATAAACTTAGACTGTACAGCCGACCACGTGAACCCCACTGTTGAGACTGGTCGGTGGTAGTAGCGGTCGTTTTTTTTCGTAAACCCATGTAGTCTTGCTCAAGCCCTTGTGGTTGTGACACAAGTTGTCAAAGTTGATAGTCCAGGGGGGTTCACTGTATATAAACCTTGACGGGGATCCTCGGCGCACTTGAGGTACCTTTTTGACATTTGGTATGGCAATGGACCCAAATTTTAGGATCTGGTATGAGAATGCCCCTACTTTTGATATATGACAATGGTCAGATTTTTCCACTTTCTGGTATAAGAATGGTCATGGAAAATATGTTATCTCACAATTATCGCATGGAATTGGTCTAGTAGTTACACATATCCTAAGTTGTTTTGGTACGTTTACCTCAAATATCGCCTTCTTCTTGCAGGGGCGTAGGAAGGTGTAAATTCAACACTACGCCAAAAAATATGAAACTGAATTGGGTCAATATTCTATATCAAAACGCCTATATTATGCTCGTAAAACGTCATTTTATGGTAACAGAGATTTTAAGCTTTCAATATTCACAACCTAAATGTGAACGGAAATACTAAGCGATGCATTTGTATGGGCGATTGGTCATACGTATAGGTTGGCGTTTCCATTTCATATGCAAGCTTTAAATCCCTGATACCTTTTTAATGTGCTTTAAAATGTTCGAATGATTTTCATCATTTAAAATCACCTTGGAAAGCCTATCTTTTAAATCTCGACACAAATCATTCTCACTTTGCTAATGTCTCGAACGACTGAAACGACCAATTTCAAAAAAAACAATTAGAGATTTTTTAATCATTTTCGAATAATTGAATTAAGATATATAGTATTGTCGGATTCCATCGTGTACCGTGCAATACAATACGTACAGATTAAAGAAACTAGTTTGATCAATTGATATAAAGAAACGCATTCGTGATCAATGAAACAAATAAACACACTTACCACAAAGGTCAAATCGAGTTCAACGTGACTTAGGAGATGCCAAAAAATGTTATAAAACAAGAATCTATTATTTTTCAAATGAAAAAAAAAACTAGGTAATCGCTTTTCTAGAACTGAAACCAATGGAACATGTAATTGAATAATCAGCATTTTCAAGTTGTTTTTGTCTTTAACATCCATATTTCAAAAAGTACTACCAATAACAATTAGTGATTTAGTAAGAAGATAGATAATTGTTGACTTAACAGTAGTTACAGAAACGAGAGTTCTGACGCACCTTTAACATTGAGTCCTATGGGGAGGGACACGATTTTTCATAGTACCCTCCCTAACATGGGCTCCAATGGGGAG